CTTTGCCCGGAGTTGGTGCGTTGACAACTCTGTTTTGCATGCGACATGCGCTCATCGGATACGGAACGTGTTGCTTGCGGCTACTGTTGATGGTTTGTTTACGTTTTGGGCTGCTTGTGTTGTTGTTACTGTTCGTGTTGCCGGGTTGCGACGCAACAATTTCGATTGGTTTACAGAAAAGCGGGCGAGCAGCAAAGCATGTAGCTGGAAGAAGATTTCCGATAATATTATTGTCTGCATACATGTGGAAGTATGTATGGATGTACATACATATGTATGTAGTCATTTGGAACGAAGCTGTTTTGTTTGTTTTATTACTACGTTTTTGTTGTTGCTACGCCATGTATGCATGCATTTATATATCTTCCGGATTCATTTGTTGCATGGCCGCCAGTTTACAGCTGATTATTGGCGTAAATAAAATTCTAAGGGAGGGGTTGGTGAACGGTGGGTTTGTTTGATTGCGCACCTGAAATAAAATAAAAAGATAAGTTAAATCGTGTTAAATGTGATGCCTCACTTTTTTGGTAGCCTCATTTTGCATTTAATGTAAAAAAGGGGGAATTTTAGATACATTTTAACTCCTTTTGGAATACTATTTTCAAAAAATATGTATTCAAAGAATTATTTTACTAAAACAACATAAAAAATAATTAACATTCTTAACACGTAACTGGTATTGTGGGGTTTGCATGTGTCTGCATTGATCTTCATTAAAAAACCAGAAAAATTTACATAAGTGCGGACCAGGACACCAGGACAATGTGTCTATAGCCAGGAGAAATCCTGGAAAACCAGAACGTCTGGCAGCCCTATACTAATATGAGTTTCTATGAACAAAATTATATTCATTTATTCATATTTCACGCTAGTCATACGGACAGGACAAATACCAAAGTATGGAAAACTTGCCAATATAGTACCCAAGGTACATTGAACAGGTAGTATCAGTAGAGCAGCTGATTTGATTTATTTTCAAATTATTTGGTCTCGAAAATGTCAAATATTTTTAATTTTTTCTCACGAAAATTATAAGTTGTTAAAATCCATTTGCTTGTGAAACCTTTTTCCATACAAAACAAGCGATTGAATAGCAGCTTTTGGAACGTTCGCCCAACTCGGCAGCACGACCGCTGATTACTGGGCCTTGCAAAGGATGGATCAATGCTTTGAGGAGCAAACAAATTTACTAGGAAAGAAAGTTGCATCAATTTTTATATTTTCCAATTTCAATTTTTTATTTTTTATAATTTTTTGTATTTCACATGGCACGCTTTGATTTAGAAGAAAAAATTCAGAACAGTTTTTGACACTTTCGATACCAGAAGCAACAACAAAATACACGCAAATGTTGTTTTTGCTCTACTGATACTACCTGTTTAATGTGCCTTGATAGTACCTAATGCTCTGCAGACCACAATTAACTTGTCTCAAATTATACCTAGACGGTTGGTTGTGTCTTGTTGACGTCGAATAGACTAGACTAGAGCTCATTAGTTAAAACTAAGGCTCGATTCCCTTAGGTGGACTAATTGAGTAAACCCTTTTGAATGTTTTGTTCATACTTCAGCATCTTCAAACATGAAATATGATATTATTCAGACTTTGACCAAAATTAAGAAAAAAATTGCAAAGTTTCAAACTATTTTATTAAAATTTTAACGAAAATTACGCACTTTAATAGCAAGTGATTTCGCTAAAATTCATCTTTGAGTGCCCCACCAGGCACATCCATTCAAGTGATGGATAGTTTTTTTGGATGGCTAATTTTTGCTAAAAGTGCAATTTTTTCAAATAAAAGCAATTTTTCAAGTATATGTATGTATATGAACTGTAATTGCAAGGTATCATCCCTACAAGGAATTGCTGAGCTCTTTAGGCAAAACTTCTAAAGCCTGGTTTACATTAGGTCATATTTGACGTCAAATGTTGTCAAAATAATGAAAACGGGTTGTCATCTGGTGTCATTTGCGTTTGTTGTCATATATCACCACGCACAGTCATATAAAATGACAGCCAAGTGAAAACGGCCCTCGCCGCTGATGTGGCAGCATTTGACAACCAAAATGTATTTGCCAACATGTTGGCAATTTTGATTTCGTTTGCCATGCGAATAGCTGATTCTACATACCGACCGTTTAGCTACGAAAAACCAAAAATGCAGATCGATGAAGTTTTCACGCTGATTTCAACCATACCAAAATTATTTGGGGCAAGTAAAAAGCAAAGAAAATATAACAGGTTAAACATCAATTTTCCCATTTTTTATATGTTTAATATCTCGGAAACTACTTGACCGATTACAAAAGTATTGTTGCCAATTCAAAGGTAATTGTAATACCTTTGTTACGACGTATTTACTATAACCATTTTATAAAACAAATTTTTGGTAAACGTCATTTAAAAAAAAATACATATACAATTTCGATTTTTACCACTACTTTCGTTAAATTTTGCCCTATAAAAACCTTTCTATATAAAGTAATAACTTGTACTTTCTAAATAATATAAATTTCTGTAGGTTTAATTATGCAATTTTCTTCAAAAAAGGGAAGTTTATGAAAAAATTTATTTATTTTTTTGTTTTTTAGTATTTCTGACTTACAAATATAAAAAATCATAAAAATTATGTACATCAACTGAAAAATAAACTAGTCATCTTTATTCTGACATCATTAATTGTTTAATCGGTTATGTAGTTCATAAGATATTGATATTTAAAAATATCGAAAAATTTTACTTAGCCTCCTATATCTTCTTAATTTTTTACATGCGCTAAAAAAAATTTGGTTAGGTTGAACTCAGCATGAAGAAAGGTTATATCGGAAGTCGAACAGTTGTTTTAACAAATTGCATGTACAGCTAAGATAGAGAAAATTAAATCTGTCTTACCAAAAAACAAAGGCTATAGTGCAATAAAAGGAATTGGTGAAAAAATTTCAGGAAAAACTATTACAGCTGGTGCCAAATTGAAATACAGCGTTGAAGAAACATTTGCCTTTAAATACATATGTTCCGATCAGGTCCGTTGAAGTGGAAAGAACTTTCTCTATGTGTGGCAGTATTTATCGCGACAACAAGCGTAGTTTTCTGTTTGAAAATTTGAAAGTGTCTGCATATTGAACCAAACCTCTATATCCCTATGTTATCCGACCCGCTGAATGTGAATCCGATATCTGTTAGCCCCCATCACGTCAGGTTCGAGGTCATTTGAAGATTAAGTAGGGAAAACTTCATTGAATAAACCTGAAAATTCATATATATGGGGTTTCAGATTCGCTGAACCCGAATCCGAGGTCCGTTAACCTTTAAATGGTCAAATAGGATAAAAAATTTATTCAATAAAAATTTAATTTTTGTTTGTATTTTGTTTTTTGTTCGACAAAGCCGAATATGGGGGTCCCTTGATTCTTCAAGGTCATCAAGACGCCATTCCAAGGTCATCCCAAGGTCAAATTCAGAAAAATTGTATTGAATTTTCAGGTTTATTCAATGAATTTTCCCCTACTTGACCTTCAAATGGAGTGCAATGGGGTATAGTCGTTGCGCTGGGTATGCAGTTACAGTTGCACGGCTATACTCAATCCCGACTCTTCGTCCTCGTCCGCGCACTCTGGGCAACGTGAGAATCCCATGTGCGAGATGCGGTAACCAATCCGAGTGGAGCCTTGGGCCACGGCAGAGAGAGAGGGAGCTTCGGTGGGGCCACTCCGACTTATTCGGTTTAAGAGCGCACTGAAGTCTGCAGCGTCTGTTCACCAGTAGGTGCGGCTGCAAGCGGGTGTCTGCTTGGAACAAGCGGCTCGCTATATAAACGTGTACTTGGTTGCGAAACCACGCCCGACCCAGAAGTGGGTTGTGCGCTGGGTTTGGGACTCCCCTACAGGGCCACGCTGCGATCGGACGCAACGCGGGCTATGTGGGAACGCTATAGGGATCTGAAGAGGGAAGCGAGATGTATTTGCCGCAATAAGAGAGAGGCCGAAATACGTGAGCGCGAAGAGCTTGAAATGCTAGCCGACAGGAAGAATGCCCGAAAATTTTACCAGAGAGTTAGGCGACTTACGGAAGGTTTCAAGACCAGAGCGTACTCCTGTAAGAACAACAATGGCGACCTAGTAACCGATGTTCATAGCGTACTAAATTATGGAGGGAACACTTTTCCACCCTACTGAATGGTAGCAGCACAGAAAGTTGTGGAGAAGAAGAACCCGAGCCCACAGTCGATGATGACGGTGTCGACGTTCCACCGCCTGACCATGAAAAAAAATTTTAGTTATTGGAATTTTTAGCAACTATAAGCTTACACTGAGTTATAGTAAAATTTAATAAGCTTTAAAACCGCTTACACAAAATTTTTATAGAAATTCGAATTAAAAAGCTTGAAATTTTAATGATTTTGTAGTTTTTTGTTTTGTACAACTTTTAAAAAAAAATAGTAGACACTGAACAAACAAAAAAATAGTCAAAGTTGCTAAAAATGTTGTGGTGCTATTATTCTGACCAGTACTTTATTCGTTTTCTTATAATATGGTAAAATGTTAATAATTTCCTTTGTCCGAATTTTGATATGCGCCTCCGTATTTGATCTCTCAAGTTCAACAATTTTATAAGTATGAGTTGTCAATTTAAACGAATATCTTTTGTTTTGTTTGTTTTGTAGTATTAGAAATTTATTATAATAGCCAATTTCTATTCTTTGCACTTCAAAAGGGACAAACAAAGCCCGAATTCAATTTTTCGATATAAAAAATAAATTCAGATTTTGCCTGTCGCTATTCAAGTGCATAAATTAATAAGTTTACTTTATTATTATAAGAAATTCTTTTTGATGCACTCAAATTTAAAAAAAATGTATATAGGCCCCTATTATGAGTTGCATTCGATTTTCGACTGTAGTCGAAAGTGCTGAGCGAACGAATTTTCATTTGGTATTATGGCGCTCATTCGATGAAGAATAGCGCTATTGTGAATTTCGCTCGTTTAGGTTGTTCACAATAGTATATTTTTGACAGCTGAGATGCTTTGTTTACATATTAAGCAAACTAAAAGAAAAGAAAGCGTGTTTATTACAACGTTTTATGTAAATTTGTGTTAATTAAAATCAAGTAAAAAATAAAGCGAGCTGATAGGAACTTAGTGAAGATGAGTACAACGGAGTTATGGTTCGACGATTCCTCAGAGGATGAGAATTTAGTGGAACTGGCCAGGAATAGAAAACGTTTAAGGGACGCTTCCAATCCCTTAGAAATGGATTCAACCGCGTAAGTCTGGCCTTTTAGATATATTTTCACATATTTATATAATATTTATAATTATTTGTCTACAGATTTATAAAAAACTTCCGACTGTCTAAAGAGGCGTTTGTGGACCTGCTGTCCGCTACAGAAGACCTGTTGCAGCAATGCACTCGAGCCAAATCTATTGCAAATATCTTAAAACTAGCAACAGTTCTGCGATTTTGTGCTCAGGGATCGTACCAACTGAGTATTGGGAATGAAAATATGCTTGGGCTTGCGCAGCCCACGGTGTCTGTGGTGATATCAGAAGTGCTTGATGTTTTGGAAAATTTCATTTGCCAAAGATGGATAAAATTCATCTACACAGGGGTTGAACTGCAACAAGCGAAAGCACATTTTTACAGCAAAAGCAGAATTCCAGGAATAATCGGCTGTGTTGATGGGACGCACATTAAAATTGTCGCTCCCAAGAAGGAATTCCAGCATTTATATTACAACAGAAAAGGATTCTTCAGCATTAATGCTATGGTTGTAAGTATATATATTTTCGTACATACATGCTAAGAATCTCTAATTGTAGATGTGTACACTTTTGTATTTTTTTAGGTTTGTGATCACACAATGAAAATAAGATACATAAATGCAAAAAATCCGGGAGCGACACATGATTCCATGGTTTTTCATATGTCATCATTGAAAGCACACTTAGAACAGCAACATCATAATGGTATTCGTAATACTTGGCTACTGGGTATGATCAAATACAAAACCTACATTTATTTCTTTTTTTTAAATTATTTTTATCCACGTTAGGTGATGCTGGTTACGCTCTAAAACCATACTTGATGACGCCGTTCAGAAATTCTGAGGAAGGATCTCCTCAAAGAACATACAACAAACAACATGCAAAAGCCAGAAATATTATAGAGCGAACAATCGGAGTTTTAAAAAATAGATTCAGATGTTTATTGCAGGCGAGAGCTCTTCATTACACTCCAAAGAAAGCTACACAAATAATAAATGTGTGCGCAGCTTTGCACAACATTTGTCAATTCTATAATGTAGAAATACCCGACGGAGAAGAGTTTTCAAATGAGCCTCACGACGATGATGCCGGAGTCGTTGAGATGGAATCAATTGAGAATTCAGAAGCAGAAGACATCAGAAATGAAATTTTAAGAACCTTGTAAATAACTGAAAAAGTATTAATAAAGGTATTCCAGTATCTTTTATTAAATTCATAAATATTATTGGTTTAAGATATGAAGGTACATATGTACATTAAAAATTGAATAAAAAATCACATAAATTCATGTTTTTAAAAAATCTACATAAAAGTTTTTACAGCCTTTCTCAATTCATATCACAGGCAAAAAATATCATTAATTCACTTACATATATTACTTAAAGATTAATAAAGCCTTCTTAATACTACTAAAAAATTAACACTTGAATGCATTCGCTAAAAATATAATTATAAGTTATGGTTTAGGCAACATTTTTTTCTTCATTTCTAAAAGTGCAACCTTTAGTTGCAATTTTGCTTTCCGATCTTGCTGCTTTCTCATAACTTCACTTTTATAAATTTCTAATTTTTCTTTTTTCATTTGTAAGAGTTCTTTGGTTGAGTCTTTTTTTAAGTAGTACGTTCTTTTTGCGTATTTTTCAGTTTCCCTAGCACTTTTTTTAATTTCATTTATGTTCGAAATTACGTTTTCATAAAAAGCCTTCTGGGCATTTGTCTGGGCTTCCAACAACCTCAGTCTCTCCGTTTTGTGGCACCGTTTTTTTCTGGGGGTTCGTGTTGTATTTTCGCCAACTGCATAGTTCCGGTCTTCATTGCTCGTTTCCAAATCGAATGGTGGCTGGTTTTCATCTGCTGGAGCCGGCTCAGGCGAATCTAGGCGCTGATTATCACTTATATCTAGGCCGAATTCCGCTCCTGGTGGATTCACACAGGCATCAAGCTCGAGTAATCCAATTATGGCCTCCTCAATATTTGTATAAGATTGAAGCCTGTTTGGTCCTCCACCTGTTGCTCGGTATTCAGCCTTATTTTGTGACATTTTCTTTTTGGTCTTCGATTTCATGTCAGCCCACACCTGAAAACACAAAGCTGAAATTTTCTTATACAATGAAAAATTACTTTAATTCACCTTAATCCACTTTGCTGTCGTTCTAATTGGTGGTCCTAAACAATTGAGCTCCAGCGCAATATCTTCCCACTTTTTTGCCGCCTGAAGCTTCGTACAAATCCCTTTCGCAAGTTGAGGATTTTCTTCCATCAATGAAACCAGCCTTTCGAGTTGCTGTTTAGTACTCACGACCTTAGACCTGCATCAAATTAATACAAATTGTTTAAAATTAGCGTTTAGACGCTAAAAAATAAAAAACAAACGCAAAATACTTACATTTTCAACAATTTTCTCACACTACGCTACAGCATCGAAAGCAAAATTCTGTTCGACTGAAAATTCGATACTCAACGAAAATTTCGACAGAGTTGCATAGCTCATAATACCAATTTTACATTCGATCTTCGATCTTCGATAACCAGCGAAGATCGAAAATCGAATGCAGCTCATAATAAGGGCCATAATCTCTTTAATTTACAAAGTAGTTTATAAATTTTATAAATAAATTAATTATTTAATTTTCAAGCAATTTAGTATTTCAATTCAATACCTCTCACGACGATAGTACTATCGATACTATCAATGTTTTCAACTATCGTTTCGAAAACTATCGAGTGGCGGTACTATCGATAGTATGCCAGCTCTAATTGCTGGCTTATGCCGATGACATCGACATCATCGGTAACAAAAACCGCGAAGTCTGTTCTGCCTTTTCCAAGTGGATAAGGAAGCAAAGCGAATGGGTCTGGTGGTAAACGAGGGCAAGACGAAATATCTCTTGTCATCAAACAAACAGTCAGCACATTCGCGCCTTGGCACCCACGTCACTGTTGACAGTTATAATTTCGAGAAAGTAGAGAATTTCGTTTACTTGGGAACCAGCATTAACACCGATAATAATGTCAGCATGGAAATCCAACGCAGAATCACTCTTGCCAACAAGTGCTACTTTGGACTGAGTAGGCAATTCAGGAGTAAAATCCTCTCGACGTATAAAAAACCGCACTCTATAAGTCACTCATAATGCCCGTGCTGGTATATGGCGCAGAAGCATGGACAATGACAACATCCGATGAGGCGGCTCTTTATGAGCTTTACAACGATATAGACATAGCGCAGCGAATTAAAATTCAGCGGCTCCGCTGGCTTCGCCATTTCGTTCGAATGGACAGAATGGACACCGACGCTCCAGCTCTGAAAGTATTCAACTCGGAACCCGCTGGTGGTAGCAGAGGAAGAGGAAGGCGCCCACTGGGAAGAAAAGACCAGGTGGAGAAGGACTTGGCTTCACTTGGCATTTCCAATTGGCGCCAGTTGGCACAGAAAAGAAGCGACTGGCGTGCTTTGTTGAACTCGGCCAAAATCGCTTAGGAGGTTACAGTGCCAAATAAGAAGAAGATTTTACTCAAAATTGATACACCCCGCTTACCATGTAGCGGTAGCTTTCGGAAAGTTGAGAAACATATAATTAATACTTGCGCCGGGTATTTAATGTTCGGCTCCGCCCGAACTTAGACTTGCTTACTTGTTTAGATATATACCTAGTATCTAAGTTATATTTTTCATAAAAAAATAATAAAAATTTTTCAATTTTTTTCTCTTTATTTTGTTTTAAATAAAACTGTATTAAGCCTTTTTACTCTAAAAACAAAATTGTATGTTCGGATTCGATGTTTTAGAAATGTCCCGATTTTTGGCCACAGAAATCTGGTCACCGTACCCATAACCATCCCTAGAAAATCTGCAGTAGGTGTCCAAAATTAAAAAAACTACACACGAAATGGAATCTATGGGTAAGTTTTAATATTTTTTTTTTCTTTAAAATATCGAATTTTTTTAAATCGCTTCATTACTTCAGGTGCCGTAAGCGTTTTAGTGAAGATCCAAAAATTACAACTACAAAATCTTATCGTAAGACGTATCTATTCTACGGCAAAAAAAAAAACCCCCCAACCAAAACAAAAAACTTCCTTCATCATTTTCGTACTTTGCATCTGTACTCTTCTTTATTGCACTCGCCTTTTCGTGATTTGTGCAAATGCCATGCTAATCATATCCACCTCCACCTTTTCACCACTTCGGCCAATTGTACGAAATTAAATTTTGTGGGTCTTTGTTTGCATAGCAGCACCAAACATTCAAACGCGCACACACACACTAACAAAGTAACGCACGAACATTTATTTAGTTATTTATGCATTCGTTTGTTCGTTTATTTCCGGTTTACGTTTATATGTATGTAGGCTCAAAATGCCTATAAAATTATCTACCAATGGTAAAACATTGCAGCAGAGCTTATAGGCCAATCATCAGAGCTTGGACTCCACCCTCGATAAACGGGATTGTGTAAAGGTAGGTGTAAGTGTTGTACATACAAACTTGCAGCAATATGGGACAAAAGAAAAAAGCACGACAACAGCCCAGTAGCTGCCCACATTTGAAAGCAACCCAGCAGCAGCTGCTGCGCTAATTGGGCAGGCGGATGGTGGGATGATCGGTCGGTCGGTCGCTCGCTCATTGAGCTGGTGTCCGGTGGGACGATAAGTTCGTTCAAGTGGTACATCCTTTTTGCCCCGATTAAATCTCCAATCAAAACATTGCAATTTATTCTAACTCTACCGGATGGTCATTCATAGTCGTTGTTGTGTGCGTGAATTTGAATTACAGCTGATGATAAACGGATTGCTAATGGCAGGAATTGTTAGATTTTTAAGGTAGGTTGTAGGAAAAATGTACCATCATTTTCCTTTTCTTTTGCTTTTAAGCTGATATTCATGAACACTTTTTCGCCCACTCATCAACTTTTCGAAAATCACTTCTTATCACTTTTGTACTTTCGGAATTCCTATTAAGCAATTAAATATTGCTGCCCATTTGTTGAATGTCAGACATTGGCAACGCATTAATTTTTGTACTATATCGTTGCCTTAATATAGAAAGGCCCTATCTCACATCGTCGCTGAAATACACAAAGCCGTAACTAACTAAAATCTTTTATTGCATAAAACGATTTGGGGCCATATAATGCGATCAAATGCATCATAATCAATTAAAACGTAAATTTTCGATTTTTAGTTAGTTACGGCTTTTTGTATATAAGCGACGATGTCAGATAGGGCCTTTCTATATTAAGGCAGCGATATGTATCTATGTATGTATGTATGTCCACAAATACATACCCACCACACCTTTTTTTTAACGCTGAGTCCAATATTTAATTATATTCTTGGAAGCTAATTTCAGTTTCAGATTTCCATTAAGATTCTAGTATCTTTATCTCTGGATTCATAATCGCTACTTCCGTAGCTAGCACTTTGTTAATTGGTCAGCGTTATATGTATTTTGTATTCGCACTGGCATTTAAACTTGCGCTTGTGTGTGGGATGTAACAGTGTTGCTTTTCGTATGTTGGCTAAGGGATAAAAATCTCAAAGCTAAAAATAAACATTGTTGTAAAGCTCATAGAGCTCTGCGGTATTCGCCAACGCCAACGCCAACGCGTAAAGGCCCGTAAATCTTTCTCTCGAATACTCCAAGAGCTGCCTCATCACCAGCACGGGAATGTGACTTATGGAGTTTTTTTTTTGTACAACCAGACAGGGCTTTACTTCGCAATTTCCTACTCAGTCCAAAGTAGCACTTGTTGGCCAGAGTGTTTCTCCGTTGGATTCCAAGGCTGACATTATTACTTTTTCAAACTTGGAACTGCCAAGACACGTATGCTCTAACTTGACATCGCGGCGTATAGACAACTCCTTTACGTGCTGTCGAAAACGGCTTCGAAAACGACAAATATGCAGATGGTATGTGTCGATCCAATTGCCGTATTATGAATACCTGATCTGGTGGATTTTACATGTCCACCAGTTCGTTGACGGTGGTTTTCAATCTTTCACATAATGCGTTCGATAAGACCTTGTACGCCCTTTTAAGAAGGCTGATTCCGCGGGAGTTGGCGCCTTTCTTGTGGATTGGGCAGAGCACACTTAAATTCCAGCCGTCGGGCGTGCGTTCAACTGGCCATATCCTGCACAAGAATTGACGCACGCACTTTATCAGATCCTCGCCGCCGTTCCTGAATATTTCAGTTGGCAGGCCGTCAGCTTCAGTAGCCAGGCGGTGGGACATCGACTGGGGACTTGGGTTCGTCTTCTCCACCACTTTCATTGCTGCTGACATTCAACAGAAATTCGCCTTGTTCTTAAAGCCTTCCGTAAGTCTTGTTGGCCAGCATTTCAAGCTCTTTGAGTTCATGTATTTCGGCATCCCCATTTTTTAGTGGAACATACTCTCGCTTCCCCCTTCAGCTCCCTATAACAGTCTCACATTCGCGTTGCGCCCGATCGCAGCGGGTTTTTTCTTTGCAGCTCCGCGACACTCCTCATCCTTACAGTGGTTCTTTCAGACTCGAATCTGAAGACTTGCAACTCCACCTCTGGTTTGAGTAAGCCTTGGTCAACCGTGAGGTGAGCATCCAATCCGACAAAGCGCGAGCTATTTTAGCTGACAATTCACGCTGCATCCTCCAGCGGACAAATCCAAACGTCGAGTGACCAGAAGGCTGCACAAACTGCCAACAACAAGTATGCCTCTTGCTTTCACTAGCGGTGAAGTTCAGGTAGCCATCGGGAAGACGAAAGCCTCCAGAGCCATGGGATCCGACGGAATATGTATACTGATGCTGAAAAATGTGTGTCTTACGGGAGTAGACTATTTAACCAAGGTCCTCAACCTGTCAATGGCCACTCTCGTCATTCCAGACATCTGGAAAATGGGGAGATTGGTCCCACTGCTCAAACCGGGGAAACCAGCCAACAAAGGAGTCTTATCGTCCGATAACCCTCCTTCTCCAGGTAGCGAAGACAATAGAGACTTTGCTACTCCCGTATTATACGATTCACCTGGCCCCAGCAAAGCAACGGCAAGGTTTCCGTAAAGTGCACGGCACAACAACAGCACGCCCAGATAACTCGTGGCCTAAACCGTAACCGCCCCTGTGAGAGAACCCAATTTCGACGGTGAATAACCAGAAAATCCTCGGAGTAGGTAACTTTCCACAGTCTGCTCTCCTTTTCTGCGCACACAACCGCAATTGTCAACAAAGTACAGAGCCGCAACAAGGTTCTCAAGTCGATAACCGGCAGCACCTGGGGCGAAGACAAAGGAACGTTGCTGGCAACAGACAAGGCCAATGGCCGGCCGGTTCTTAACTACGCAGCGCCGCGTCAACTTCTGGCCTTACTAGGACATCAACCAGCCGGGCAGAGGCACCTTCCCCATTAAGGGTTCGAACATTTCAGGTGTTTATCGTGGGCA